AATATAAAAATGTCCCCAGTTTGCCCCACCCAGTAAAACTTAACTCTCTAATTCTCCGTTGAAACAAATCAAGTCTCTCACAATGTACAGTGTACTTTTTGGTCTCCTATTTTCTGGTTCTATGTCATTTCATGCAGAGGAATTAAATAAAAGTAATTAGTTGAAGTCTAGTTCTCTTCTTTAGCAATTATAAGCGTGATAATAGTTAGCATTCAGTAAGCATTTATTGTAACATCAGCTTATATGTGTATTTCATTTAATTTTCACAATAACCACGGGGGTAATTTTGCTTTTCTCACACTACAGATGAGGAAATGGAAACTTTGACAGATTAAATAACTTCCCAGTGCACGGCCGGCCTGGTGGCGCACTGTTACAGTGAGCCGCTTGGGAGCGCAGCGGCACTCCCGCCGAGGGTTCGGATCCCACATACAGACCGGTTCCCGCTCACTGGCTGAGCAAGGGGCGGGCGCAGCACCGAGGGTTGCGATCCCGTTGCCGGTCCCGGTCCGGTACGGGCACGACACTGAAGGTTGCGGTCCGTTGCCGGACACGAAAAAAGACAAAAAGACAAAAAAAAAAAAAACAAAACAAAACAAAACTTCCCAGTGCAAACCATGGAATACATAGTAGAATTGCTATAGGGGTAAAGCTTTGTCTTGCTGGCTTTGCAGCAGCATTGTCCTGCCCCATGGCAGTCATGGCAGAGACGATGCCACCTCTAAGCCTCCAGGTCAGGGTATGCCAGCCCACGTTTCTCACTGGTCTTGCTTTTTGTAGGCTCCCAGGGCTATCATTGCACATAGGAATGCCCAAGCTTAGCTTCATGCCCAGCCCACACTTTTAGAAAACAACAGAATCCCCAGAGGAGTTTTCATCACAGCCCTGCATAAATACCACTCCTTACAGTAGCATTTCACGTAAAAATGTCTCCATACCTGACACATCAATTCTTCTAGCAGGTGCTAGAAAGCCGTGGAGTACACGTGATGAATTGTCCAAAGACGTCACTTTTGCTTCAACATTTTGGGGAAAATGAGGCATAATTTTATGCTAAAACAAATGAGAAGTAGACTAATGCAATATAAATTTTGCACATGAAGAAGCAGTCATTTTGCAACATTTTCACCCCGTAAAGGCTCATGCAGGATCCCTGTCTTCTCCTTGCACACCCTACTGTCCCCTCCATCCTTCTCCTCCACTAGGGTCTGGCGGTGGAAGCACTGGAAGAGGGCCACATGACACAGGACAGGTCAGCCCTGCTCACTGCAGTTACCCCTCAAGGGTGGTTTCAGAGATGTGGTGCGATCTTGGAGAAGGAAACAGACAAAGAAAATGGGTGAGAAAATATCCCAAATTACTAGTGTCAGCTTTGCCCCAGCATCACCTAAGCCGGGCCAGCTGCCTGCCCCTGCCTCCTGTGTCTCCACAGCAGATAAGCTGGGGCACCGAGCTTTCCATCTTGGTGGGGTAGGGGTGCAGGGAATCCTGCAAATCCATTTGCTGCACAGAACATTGCCTTGACTGTGCAGTGTTACGTTCGCCAATATATGAGCCCTAGAGCAAGAAAAAAGCAGTGTATTTTATCTGCGCCTCTATTGGAAATCAATTTTATATAATACATTAATAACCACAATACTAGGGAACATTTACTGAGTGCTCACTGCACCAGACACAGAGAGTGCCAAACGTGTTACATGCTTTATTTCATTTAATCTTAGACAAAGACCATGGAGCAGAGTATTAACATTCACATTTCATAAAGAGGACAAGGATTAGACAGCCACAATTGCCCACTAGGGAGTGGTGAGTGGATCTCAAATCCATCTGACTCTTGGACTCCAAGGCCCAGGAGACTGCAGAGAGCCTGTGTTTCCATGTCCTGGCCAAATGGGCTCTGCACCAAGAGGAACTCTTTATACAACACCACGTGACCTCTCCAGCGATGTGGGCTAGACCAGACGCTAGCTTTCCCCGGAGCCTTCCACGTCAGTGCTGAGGAAAAGGTCTTGCTGGTGTCCATCCCAGCTGCTCCGAGGCTCAGAACCTTTCCAAGGGACCCCGAGATGCTCTGTGGTGGATGTTCCTCCATCTGTAGTGGGAAATATTGTCCCACTTCGGGGGACTCAGACACACTGAGGCAGAAGACCCCAACCCTGGGGGTCCATCTAGCTTGTCTCTGATTGTATCATCTGAACAGTCAAAGGTCCTTCCTGCCTTAAAGCTCACAAATTGTCGACTATGAAACTGGATGAGAAATGGAAACTGCAGTCTTCGCTATTGATGCCATTTGGGAACTGTGGCTGCAGCTGTTCCCTTCTCATGGAACTGTCCGATGAGCTTGTTTTATACTTCTGTAAATCCACTTTGACCATCTTCACTTAACCAGACCCTTTAGGGTCTACTAAATTGTGAATTAAGGTGGTGTTTCTGTGAGAGTGTGTGTGCGAATTCCAGTGGCAGTAGTTAATGGGTCTTCTGCTTAACAGTTTAGTAACTAGCTTCATAGCTTTTTTTTTTTTTTTAAAATTTGATCTTTCCCTGAGAAACTAACAGAATTTTTATTCTTTCTAAAATACAGATGATAAGACTGGGGCTGAGAGACTGGCTTCAAGGCCCTGTAATATTTGGTGGAACCAGGAACCCAATTCTTTGGATTACAGATCATGTAGTCTTTCTACTGTGTGTTTGGCAATGCTGTGTGGAATTTCTGGAATTTGAGTTTTTTGACATACCTTAAGCAGCAGTTTCAAATGGTTTCACCCAGTATAAATGCAGCCTGGTGTAGCTGTAAGAAGGTGGGCTCCAAAGCTAGATGGCGCATGTTTTAGTCCAGGTTTTGAAGATCACTTGTTACTCTTTGTGCTTTAACTCCTGCACGATTGAAACATACCAGAATGAACATGCCAATGGCACTTTCTACAGATGTAAGGATTAAGTGAGACAACACATAAAATATCCAGAATTTGCCTGGCATATGACTCACACTCAGACAATGCCACCTCATTATTATAGGTATTTAGCAAAAGCTTAATCATCTGAAATCCAGCCTTTGCAAGTCCTCATACCTGTGTCTTGACTTGGGATCTGGAAATTCCTGGAACATGACAACAGCAATAACAACAACAGTAACAAATAACAATTTTTTCTTTGAGAAACAGCGAGCAGTGAAGGTTGAGAAGAGTCGAGTGGCTGAAGGATCATGACACCTCTCAATGTTGTCTGGAACAGACAATGTGTTTTATTTGTTTTTATCTGGAGCTGGTGGATGGAAAAGGAAGATCCGGAAGCTAAGAGAAGACTAGTCAAGGAGGGGAGTAAGCGGGAGTGGTGGAGGCAGCCCTCAGTGGAGACTAATGCTGACATGCCACATCGGGGACAAACTTGTGGGAACTTGGAGATGGAGAGACAACACTGAGCAACTAGTGGTCCATGTAGTGTGCACTCAATCCTGGGCCCTCAGTGAAGCAGGCAGCAGGAGCCTTGATCACGGAGTGCTGACCATGGAGCCTGACCATAGAGACTTGCCCACAGAACCCTAACCATGGAACCCTGACCACGGAGCCCTGACCATGGTTCCCTGAACATGGAGCCTTAGCCATGGAGCCCTGGCCATGGAACCTTGCTCACGGAGCTCTGACCATGGAGCCCTGACACAAAGACTTGACCATGAAGCCTTGCACATGAAGTTGCCTGATTACTGTGTTCCCAGGAAAGACCACCAACAAGGATTGTTGTATAGAGAATGTACTCATATATTTAAGCAAAATAATATGTAACTAAAATATTAGTCAGTCACTACTTGCTATAAAAAAATTTACTTCAGTGAAATTAAAAGATGTTGAAAAGATTGTGTCATATGTACTTGTGAGCCCTTTCTTGGAAGAGTCTAATCATGCTTCCATTTCTTTCAGGCTCGGTATTTCCCAGACAATGGATGGTAACGTTCACTGTGATAGATTTGGAGTTGGGTGGGGGTTAGTTGCAACCTATCTCCTTTATGAATCTGGGTCTAGGGTGGGTGAAGAACCCTCTGCTGTGAATATCACATTGACTAGATGAGCAGCTCTCTTATAGGACAGGACCTAGCAGGATCACTATCTTTTGCACCACCGAGGGGGTGGGGGAAGCACATTGCCCACCTTATGGTGATAGGGTGACCCTGGGGCTGTGATAGTATCTCCTACTGGCCGGGCCTCCTACAGAACAAACCCCTGATTCTGTGATCATTCATGTCGCGTTCCCTCTCTAGGCTGTATTCTGGGTACTCTTCCCACAATGCCTTACTCCAGATAGTTTAGTTTTTCCAGCTCCTTCCTGAAGCCCAGGCAAAGATACTAAGACATCCTTAGTGTTTTGCCCTGAAAAATGTTTGATGTTCAACTTCCAGAGCCAAGATGTTGCCAACTTTTATTTCCTGCCATGTTTCCATTTCAAGTACACAAATCCAGGACGGGGACTACACAAGGATTCGGTCTCCTCAGTGTCAGTGATCTTTGAGATTCTTGATAATTGTCTTTGTGAAATTAATGTTGTAAAATGACTTTCACAAAATGCCTGCTGCTTCAGTGAAGGCATGTTTTTTTGTTTTAGAATCACTTGACTCCAGCTTGGAACATTTACTCTGTGTTGTTGCTGCTGAGCTCTTATGCAAAGGTCTTCCCTACGACTTGTAGACTTCTTCCTCTGCTCTCTTCCTCCTGTCTCCCACTCTCCCTCGTTCCCTTGGGCTGCAGCCTCGCCCTCTGCGCTTTAACTGTTTCCTTTTCATTTACGTGTAAGTATCATTGTTATAGAGATTACATCGAAAATGGTAGAGTTTACATTCAGCAAATAAGAAGCAAATTTTGCACATCATCAAAACTCAACTCTTCTGAGCAATTTTTAATGAAGGAATTTATATTCATTTTCAAATTCATTTGCATGATCTCTACTATATAAACAGTAAGCACTGCAGTGAAACAAGAGTCAGCATGTCCTGATTTGTTTATTTTCCTCAGGAGGGATGCTGGACAAGATGTTTAACCATGCAGAGGCTGGACACTTCCGTTTCTTGGGCCGTGTCTTGGTCAACCTCTCTTCCTGCGTGGTGTTGAACCGTTTCCATGCTGTGGAGTCTGTTGATGCTCTGGAGACTAAAGCACATGAACTCATGCAGCAGAATAATTTTCTGGCCAGTAAGTATTCAGGAATGCTGAAGAAATATATTCACAAAGGCACCAGTTCAGATAAGTTGTCATTTTGCATATTTCTCCCTAAAGGTGACTTAGAAAGAAGTGCTTTCCAGATAAAACATAAAATAAAGCAGAAATATTTGCATTGATTTAATGAAAAGTTATGCCCTTTACCTTAATGACTAATGGCATTTTCACCATCTGGAGAACAATATTATTGACTTCATCTGTTTTTACTATTTTATGATATTGTTTTATGGTTAAATCTCACCTGATAAATTACATTTTTCCTGATTAAAATTATACTGTAATTTCCTTTATCACCTTTGTTTTTATCATAGTATCTTGATATCCTGGTGGGGAGAGGAGAAAAAACAATTGCCAATTCAACTCCATTATTAATTGTTCATCTATGTGATGTGTTCTGTTCTTTTTGAATAAACATTTACGTATTTTTTTTATTAAGGTTTTAGTATTGGTTTGCTGGGGCTGCTGTAACAAGGTATCACAAACTGGGTGGCTTAAACAACAGAAATCTGTTGTCTCACAGTTCTGGAGGCTGGAAGGTCAGGGCGTCCCTCAGCTCCTTCTGTGGCCTATGAGGGAAGGATTTTTTCTAGGCCTTTCTTGTTGGTTTGTAGATGGCCATGTTCTCCCTGTGTCTCTTCACATCTCCTTATTACCTTTTTATCTTCCTCCTAAGTGTGTCTCTGTGTCCAAGTTTTCCCTTTTCATAGGGGTACCCTCATAGTGAATTAGGGTCCCTTATGGCCTCATTTTAACTTGATTACCTCTTTAAAAATGCTATCTCCAGATATGGTCACATTCTGAGGTATTGGGGGTTAGGACTTCAACATATAAATTTTTGGGGGTGGACACAGCTCATCCCATAATAGCCTTTTTGCATGAAATTTAAAAGATCTGTGTGACAGAAATAGAATATGAAGATATTTCAAAAAAATTGTGGAAAAATAGAATTCAAAGATAATAAAAATCTTTCTACTAACTTTTTGAAGTAGCTTCGTATTTATGAATGATAAGTAACCCAAAGAGATGGATTCTGTACAGTGATTTATATCTGAAACTCGAGAGAGGGAATGCCTGATTATTTGAGCAGCCTCGTGTAATTTTTCAAGTCCTGCAAAAAATGAAAAACAAATGATTTCTTTGTATGGTTGACACCACAGTATAGTTTTATTAAAAACGAGAAGCACGGGACCAGGAATCAGGAGGTCTTGGTTCAGGCTCTCCACCGATCGCCTGTGTGACTGAACGTAGCTTTTGCTCCCCCAGGGCTTGGTCTCACTTCTGCAGCATTGGAGGGCTGTGCCCAGTCTCACAGTCCTGCCAGCCATCCAATCTGATCCGGTGTGGACATGGTTTGTGTCCCCGCCTAAGGTGTGATGATGCTTTTTTTTTTTTTCCTCTTCTGCCATTAGGTGTTATATTCAACAGTTCCTTAGCCAGCAAGAACTTCAGATCAGAGTCTCTCAAACTGCCGCCCCATGTCACATACACAATTCGGACCAGTGTCTTATACAGCATGAGGACAGATCTGGTAAAAAACCCTTCTTGGAAGTTTCATCCTCAGAGTCTACCAGCTGAGGGGTTCAAATATAACTACATCTTCGTCCCACTGCAAGACATGATTGAAAGAGCCATCATTTTGGTGCAGACCGGGCAGGAAGCTCTGGAACCTTCAACACAGACGCAGGCAATCCCCTACCTGTGCCACACCAGCGACCTGTGAGTAGCCTGGGGTCAGAGCCAAGCTTTCCTCCAGCGTCCACCTACAGCAAGAAGGGCTGTGCATTTGGAAAACCAAGTAGAGATAAAAAAAAAAAATCTTTGAGATTTTCTGTAGTCATCCTCAAAAGCATTTTTTAAAAAAATGTCTTCCTCTTTTTGATTTCTTAAGGTTCTTTTTTTTTATATGCTTGAACTATTCAGGTAGAAATATGAGGGTACTACAAAAAGTTTATGGAAGGATTTGCATTATTTTTTAATTCTATTTTTCCACGAACTTTTTGAAGTATCCTCATATAATGGTTGAGATAATGTGATCAAGTGGAGTTTTAAGTTTGACATCAGCCATCTGTAGATTTATTTGATTTATTTATTTTTGGCGGCTGGCTGGTATGGGGATATGAGTCTATAGCTTTAAATGCCCTCAGAATCAATCTGATGAAGACTATTCACAAGGGCATGTCTGACAAAAGACCCCACCTATCTAAACTTGGGGAAACAGAGGAAGGTTATTACCTTATCAGTGCAAATCCCTAAAAAATAGCCTCACACTGTTAAGGGTGCTGAGGGATTCCACAGAAGCCCTGGTTGGTGGTTTAGGTATGTATAAAGTAATTGGAGAATGCTTAGGAGTTAAACTGTGTGATTTGGCCAGTGACGTCTACAGGGGGAGCGAGAGAAGCTCCTTAAGGGCTGGAGCAGCTGGACTTGGAGGAGAAGTTGCGGTGGCCTCAGAGCCGGCGCGGGGAGGGCAGGCCAGGCAGGGTGTTTGGGAAGTGGAGTGCAGGCTTTCATCACTTAGGGGCCTGTGAATGCATGGGTGAGCCTGGACACATGAGTGCGGTCAGGCCATGAAAGGCCTTCAGAGCTTGTCAAAGGGTGTGTCCTGTATTGTCACGGGCGTGGGATTACCTGGACTCCTCTCTTTCCACCTGATGGACGCTGTTCTCATAAACAACCTGCTCCACGCTTGGCCCCTGGTAATACAGGCTGTGGGCTGGATGTGATGGGGCTGCCTTCTCAGGCTCTATGGAAAGCACACTTGGAAGTATGTGGCTGAACATGAGGTTATTAAAGGGCCAGGCTTGTGTAATACAGGCTGTGGGCTGGATGTGATGGGGCTGCCTTCTCAGGCTCTATGGAAAGCACACTCGGAAGTATGTGGCTGAACATGAGGTTATTAAAGGGCCAGGCTTGTATGTTTCGTTGGTCATGAGAACAGGGGTAGACAAGCCTCTCCAGTGAGTCTCTGCGAGTAACAACTCACGGCACATCCCACTCACTGACAGGGCAGAGCAGTGGACGCCACGCAGCAGTTGGGACTGGCTGTCCGGGTGATTGGGGCCATGTTGTGACAGGTGACCTGATGTCATATCCCCTCCTTCCTGTCTAGCGGTATATATGCCTTGTGCGTAGTAGCTCCTCAGTACATTTTTGGTGAAGTTGGTGGTGTTACAGGAAGAACCTTCTCAGGTGGTGGGATAAAAGGCTGAAGGCCCCCTGATGGTGCTTATCTCGGGGTATCGTGTATTAGTGTGGTGGAGAGAACAAAGGGTCAGGAAGAGACCAATGTGTCATTTTCACCCAGGGATGGCCTCATTATGCAGGTGGTTGGTAATCTTCTTAGCCTCCATCTTTGTAAAATAAAAGCTTTATTGCCTTTTCAAAACGATGATATTTTTGGCTTTAAACATTTTCAACCAGTGGTTTTCTTCTCCTAAAGCATTATTCTAGGAGGTGATGGCATGGAGAGCTGAAACCAAGAAAACTGCTGTTTTTGGCCAGGTGTCAGGCAGGAATGCTTCATGTCCAACTCAAATACCTGAGAGCTCTAAGAATTAATGACCTGTGTCAGATACTTGGAGAAGCCAATGTTTCGTGGTGGTATTTTTTTAAAAGGTGAACCTCAAAAAAAAAAAGATCCTATTCTGACAGTTTCCTTCAATCTCCAAAGTAGACTCCAGTCACTACCCACAGAAGAGGGGGTCCTGCTTACATAGGTGGGAAGAAGCAAATTTCCTCTGCTCCTGTTATAGGAGGAGGCTGGGGTTTACTTTGTTCACCTTGACACAGGGTATTTCCCAGGAAGGTGTGTTGGGAAGAACGACATATATCCTGAAAATGTGCTGATGGAAGATCTGAGATGGCCTGATTTTTCAATTTTCCACTTCTACCGATTATAGTGCTTTGTTAACAGGCATCGAGAGAGGGTTGGAATGGAGGCTTTAAGTGAGATAGATGAAGACTTGCCTTTCCACCTCTTGAAGATAAATTCTCGTGTATAAGAAACATTCATGCCTAGTCATGCCTAGAAAGTTGGAGTTGGCAGAGTTTCCAAGTATGATTCTCATGTCGTGAAATTATTTCCCTTAGTCTACTCACTGGGATACCTCACATAACTCCTCAGAAGTATTTATTTTACTTCTTTGAAAGAGGTAAAGAATCATTTTTTTTTTCTTGGAAAAATCAAAATCTTTGTGATCTAGTCGTCGTATATTTTTCCTTTATTTCTAGTTTCAAAAAACATACAGTTTTTAAGGGCTTAGTGTTGGTAGCTGCAATGACTGAGACACAGTCTGAGATCTTTCAAGAACTCAGTCACCTGGAGAAAAATTCTAAAGCATGGCTTGGACCACAGACCATACTTGTTGAAAATTTTTTTCTGGTTTCCTACTGCTTACTGAATGAGTGAAATATTCATTAGTTTATTAATGTATTCAGTGACATTTATGTACTATTTGTCAGCCTCCAGGCTTGGAGGGAGTCAGAGAATAAAATAGGTAAAAGTCTCTGCTCTTGTGGCACTTACAGTACAGGGAAGTATGGAGTATACGGATACAACAAGGAGGAAGATTGCATTGAGTGTGAAAAGGTGGTAAGTGCCATGGAGTTAGGGAGGAGTAGTATGAGGCATGTCATGACCCCCAGGAGGGGGAGCTGGAACTATTAATGTGGTGGGGGTAGACCTTGACAGGATGTAACATTTAAGCAGACTTGAAAGGGGACAGAAGTACAGAGGACCATGTGTTCTAGGCCACAGGACCAGCTGGTGCAAAGGCCCTGTGGTAGGAGTGGAAGAGTTATCACAGCAGAGTGCACGGGCAAGAGGGCAGGAGATGAGATCAGGGAGCCGACCCAGATTGTGGTTGCAGGTGCTCCAAGTGAAGCTTGTAGAAGATGCTGCTGGAAGGTTTTGAGCAGGAGCAATGCCGTCTGACTTATATGGTAGAAGGCTTACTCAGGCTGTTGTGTGGAGAAGAGGCTGTGTGGGGTGAGCGTGGGTGTTACGGGAACAGAGGCAGACAGGCTGCTGAGAAACCAAGCGTCACTCGGAGGGTTCGAGAACTCAAAGTTTTATTACACTGGCAGGCCCAGAGGAGTTCACACTCCGAAGTCCGAGCCCCAAATCAGGTTTTATAGGAGCTTATATAGAGCCATTGTTCCAGGGTTTTTTAGGTTTCATTTTCTCGGAAACCGTGTGGGTGGGTTAAGTGTGTCCTGCTTTCACCATCCTCTTGGGCTTTTCTCAAACATGGCATCCTGGACTGTAAGGGCATCTGGGCCTGTATTCCTCTCCCAGCTGTGAGCTCCTCAAGCACCAGAACCAGGTTCCCCCCAGTATGCCTTTCTAGTGTTTATCCCAGCTGTAAAATGCCTAATTATTGACTGGATATCTCTCTCCAGTTGTAAACTTCAGAAAGGCAGGGATTTTGTTGTGTTCACTGATGAATCCTGGCCAACTGCACAGCACCTGGCCCACAACGTGTGCTCCATAAATGTCTGACACTATGAATAAACTATATAGACAATATTCTCTTCTCCCACTGAACAGCTCTGACACCGAGGGACTGGTGATCGGGGGATGATGCCCCCCCCCCGTGACTTCAGGCTTTGTTCTAGTTTCTTCAGGCCACTAAGTGCCAACATGCACTTATTGAGCACCTACTGCCTACAGAGAATTTCCCTGGCTCAAGCCTGGAGCTACGGACTCAGCTGCTCCATCCCAGGCAGCAGAATCGGATAAGAATAGAAGCTCAGTTTCAAACATGTCTAGTTGGCTTTTAGAAACCCAGAGAAAGCGTCAAGTAGGCAGATTTCTTTAGGAGACTGGAGAGACCATGCTGGATATATTAATTCAGGAATCTTCACCATTTTGATAGTATTTAGAATTCTAAGGTTGGAGATACCAGGGAGGGAGTGTAGATGGAGAAACAGAGAGAGCCAAGGCCACGTTGGGGTCCCCACCATGGAGAGTTCAGGGAGAAGAGGAGACTGAGAAGGAGCATCCTTGAAACAGGAGGACAGCCTGAGTGTGGAGTCAGGGAGGCCAAGCCGAGCACGTGACTGCAGGAAGCAGGAGTGTCCTAGGGCGCATAACGCAGTGCCTTATGGTAAAATAAGATGAAGACAGGCATTGTCTGCTGGATTTTAGCAATGTGTATGCTCATCACTGGGGACTTTACAGAGAGCAGCTTCTGGGCGTGGTGAGAATGACGACTAGTTTACGTGGACATGAGAGAGACGTGGGACAAGCTGAACTGGAGACTGGGTTCAGACAGTTCTCAGGAAGAGAGAAACGGGCAGTGGCTAAAGGGGACCTTGGGCAGAAGACGTTTTCTCTTTTAATACAGGATGCTAATGGGAATAGTCCAGTAACATGGGGATACTGATAGTGTGTGAGAGAGGGCAGAAGCTGTGTGCTTGAGTAGTTGAGGGGGAAGAGACCTCTAAAGTGAAGGATCCATGACAGGTAGTGATGTTGGAGGTAGGGTCCCTCAGAGGCCCGATAGTCAGCCTCAACCCACCCAGTCCTCTTACCAGGCTCTTGACTCCACTGCAGGAAAGAATTCAAGGGCGGAGTCACAGTAGAAAGTGAGAGCAAGTTTAATATAACAGATAAGAAATACACGTTCCTCAGATAGAGCGCAGCATAGCTCCAGAGACTGAGCAGGGTCCACACCAAGTCTAACACAAAAGTAAGTTCAGTGCACACATCAAGTCTAA